TGACTCAAATCTCAATAATTAGGTCTATGAAGTTTTTACCCATTTTCCATTCAAAATCCGAAATTAGATGATGAAATTAACTAAAGATTGTGAAATATAACTAGAAAGGGTTAAAGAATCGTTACCCATTGATCTCCTTTTCAAATCCCTCTCAAAATCGCCCTCTCCCGAGCTCCAATTCGATTTTTCTAACTTTGAAACTAAACCCTTGAACTCACTATTTCTGGCCAGTGAATTCCGCATCTACGGTCAAAGGACCGCACCTGCGGTGCCCCTGCTGTGGAACATTTGCCGCATTTGCGGCTTCATTTAAAGGGCCAGGAGCCGCATCTGCGGTCCTTCTTCCGCAGATGCGAAACCGCTTCTGCGGTTATACTTCCGCATCTGCGGAACCTGGAAGCCACCCAAAAATCCGCATCTGCGGTGCCGCATCTGCGGTCCCCAAACTGTAGATGCGAAAATATCAGAAGCAGCAAAAGCTGCAATCCCTCAACTTCAAAAATCTTTCCGTTAACCATCCGAAATCATCTCGAAGCCCCCGGGACCTCAACCAAAAGCACCAATAACACCTAATACCTTATTCAAACTTGTACCAATCCTTAAACCACCTAAAACAACGCTGGAAACACGAATTAATCAATGATTCAAGCCTAAGAACTTCAAATTCTCATAAAACACGCTTTCGATCAAAAACCTAACCAAAACACGTCCGAATGACCTAAAATTTTGCGCACACATCCCAAATGACATGACGGAGCTATTGCAACTTCCGAAATCCCATTCCGATCCTCGGATCAAAATCTCACTATCGGACCGGAAACATCAAAAATTCAAACTTCGGCATTTCAAGCCTAAATTAGCTACGGACCTCCAACCCCGAAATCATCTAACGAACACGCTCCCAACCCCGAAATCATCTAACGAAGCTAACGGAACCATCAGATTTCCGTTCCGAGGCCGTCTTCACATGTTCTGACTATGGTCAATTTTCCAACACTTAAGCTCTCATTTAGGGACTAAGTGTCCCAAAACTCTCCGAAACTCAAGACCGAACATCTCGGCAATTAAAAATAGCAGAAATAAACTTGGGGAAAGCAGTTAATAGGGGATCGAGGCGTAAATTCCAAAAACGACCGACCGGGTCGTTATGCCGCACTTCGGAGAAACTGGCAGGTTTATAGGCCAAGCGACGCAGTTTTCTCCGAATCTATTGAGAGTTACATGAAGATCTTTATATGGAATTAAAGACCTATGTGTCTGGTTTCCATCTTTGCAAACCGTTTGTCAATACGATATCGGAGTAGAGAGATACAAGTATCCGAAGTGGCATTACTCAAGCTGCCAAGCAGGCAGCTTGCCCACCTGCTTGGAGAATTGAGGCGGTGGGCTTATAAGTTGTCTTTACCCATTACATTTCGTCAATATACAGAGATTTCTTACACCAAAACTCTCTCATGCTCTCCAAGAACTGGTCCAAGATCTCAAGAACCAAACTCAAGAAAAATCAACACAAATCATCATCAAAGGTGTTAAAGACTACAAGAGAATGCTTCTATGATGTTGTGGTGTGATTGAGGGCTATTGTGGACTAAGTTGAGATAGGATTTTGAGTTGTAACTGTTGTACAAGGTACGTATAATATCTTCTTGATTGTGCCTAAGGTTAATCTTGTGTTTGTTGTGTTGTTTGAGTGAAAAACCATAAGATAGCACTTGAAAGAACATGGGATATGGTTATCTTTTTGGTGGGACTATTTTGTGGCTAAATATATGATTTGTGGTGGCTGAAAATTGTGAGAAATAATTTGATAATGTTGTGGCTGCTGTTGTTAAGTTTTTCTAGGTATTAATTAAGTTGATTGAAGAAGAAACGATGAAAGACAAGTGATAGACGATAAAAATTAAGGTGCTAGACGTATGAGACTGGTTTGGAAGGCATTTTGTGGATGTTTTAAACTTGAAATAATATGGTACATATAAGTATGATGTTCTGAAGGTTGTAAACTAATTTATGGAATAAAAGTTGGATTCAAGTTATATCTTGTTATGAATAAAAACGAGCTTGTCGCTCAATATGATTGTTAAGATAATCGAAGAAACTCATATTGGATTATATTGCTCTTGGTGCTATTGTTGGTTATAGTTGTTGTTGTTGGGTTGTTGATGACTCTTACTGGGCTTTGGGATGTATTAAAAAATCGGGGAGTTGCTGCCCGATTTTCCTTAAGTCATACGACTAGCCAAATACGATGGTATGACATTATATGTTAACGGAAATATTATTCCACTTGTTGTAGATGCAAGAAGTTGTGTTGAGCTTGGTTGAGTAATAAGGAAGAGATCATACAGGTATGTTAAGGCTAAACCTTCCTTCTTTTGGCATGATCCAAGTAACGATACGTAAACGTAATAATATTTCATAAGTGGTTCTACTCTTAGTAGTTAAGGATGTCTATGTTATTCATTCCCGTAAAGTGATATTCGAGCATGTCTAAGTACGTATCTAATTCCCTATTGAGGTATATGATAAAGATATTAATTTTCATAATATAAGTGACACGTGCATCTTCATGTATTTACCACCGCGCTACGGTCGGTCGGGCATTTACCACCGGTTGGGCAGTTATATATCATTATTGACCACCGGTTGCGCAGTCATGCATATTCATTTACCATCGAGCTACGGCTGGTCGGGCAGTCATGCATTTACCACCGGTTGGGCAGTTATATATCATTATTTACCACCGGTTGCGCAGTCATGCATATTCATTTACGGCCGGTCGGGCAGTCAAGCATTTACCATCGCGCTACGACCGGTCGGGCAGTTACCACTGATCAGTTGGGCAGTCATGCATCGATATGGATAATGGTTCCAAAAAGGTATATATATATATATATTTTACATGTAAGTATAATAAGTATGCATATACGGTAGCACTTTAGAGGTTCAGGTGATTCTTATATCTCTTTCATTAATGTTGACTTATTATTATGTTTCAGTTCTGCCTTACATACTCGGTACATTCGTACTGACGTCCCTTTTCCTGGGTGGTGTGTTTCATGCCACGCAGGTGTAGGTAGGCGAGTTGAGGACCCCCCACTGCAGGCTGCCTCAAGATATCAGCTTTTGGTTGGTGAGCTCCACTTCTTCCTGGAGTATTGCCGAGTCACATTCTATATATGTTATTTTGTTTTATGAGGATGTCGGGAACTCTGTCCCGACTTATATATTATGGTCATGTTTTCCTAGAGGCTTTGCAAACAGTGTCTTGTGTATAGTTATGTATGACATGTCAACGGCCTTGTTGGCCCCTATGCATCTATATAAATCTTTTAGAATTAGTTATGTGAGTTAAGTTCTAATATTGTTACTTATATATATAGGAATGGCCTATCATGGCCCGTGACGAGTTTTATTGTAAATAAGGATAAGGTACGTGGCACTCGGTTGAGTAGGCACCGGGTGCCAGTCGTGGCCCCTCCGATTTGGGTCGTGACAAAAAATCAGGCCAACTTTTGGTGGGCGGAAATGAGGGTGAAGATTGGCTAAGTTCAACAAATGATCGAGTCAATGACCAGTCCAACGGCTTGGGCAGGACAAATAAGTTTGGGTTCAAATTGTCACCTCTATGCACAAATCAAGCTATATTGTGATGGCAGAGAGATACTGTTCCCCTCAGATTTTTGTGACTACGTTCGTTTGGCCATAAAATAAATTTTATTTTTTTTAAAATCAATGTTTGGGCATGAAAATTTTAAATTTTATTTAAAGTTGAATTTCGAATTTTTTCGCAAATTTGAAAAACTCCATAAACTATTTTTCAAAATTTTTATTTCAAAATTTACAAAAATTGAAAAACAGCTCCAAATTATATTCATATCCAACCCAACTCTAATATTTAAATACCATTTTTACTTGAATTTTTTTCCCACTTTTTCTCAAAATTTCACAATTCTTATATTGAAACTCCCACTTAATTTATTGATCTTCCTACAATCACTAGAGACTTAGATGAGGAGACATAATATATGTTACTTCAATATATATAGATAGATAGATAAAAGGTTTAAATCTAATGTTTGTCAAGTTAAGGTGATAAGTGAAGATCTCTTATTTTCATGTGGTGATCGAGTTTGTGTCTAATATGTTACAAATGTTGATCTACGTTACTGTGATGGTAATATACATGCAAGATATCTATATAAGGAGACTTGTTTCCGGCCATCAAAGTTGACTGGTTATCGACAGTCGAAATCCACAAAGCAAGAAGTTAGAGAACAAAATAGTGCACACATCAATTTCATAGTACTAAGATTTTATGTCATGTATTGTCTCTTTTTAAATTGAAAGTGGAAAAGTTGGGCAAGCATTGGATCAAGACAGACGCCACGAAGTAAAGTAGGCGGCAATAGGGATAAAAAAGGAAAAGGGCACGTTGCAATTATATTATGAGCTTATAAGTTTTTTGACACTATCATATTAAATTGACTTACTTTTTATAACAAGCCTCATCGACATGAAAAATAGAGTAATAACTTGAACCAATACTATAAACTGTTTTTTTTTTTACATTGATAATGTATATAACTTAATCAAAGGTACTGTATAACATGTACCTTTGATTGTGCTTTCACCATGTTATTGATCTCAGGTACTCCGTAGTAGCTATTTTCTTTTGGAGGTTTAGGTTTTATGTCCCCCTCCGGTGTATTATTTGAGTGATATCAATATACAAGATAGAGGGTCTTTGCCAAACCCCCCACCACCTCGGGAGGTGAAAGCCCGGGTGGATGGATTTACTTAAAAAAAAATAATTATTTACTTTCCCATGACTAGTAAAAAAAAGAAGAAGTTTACAAGTGCTCTAAAGTCAAGTAAGGCAACAGGATACCTGCTGCAACAAGAATTTCAAAAGAGAAATAATTAATTAAGGTTGTTTGCATACTACTGAGAAAGACTTTCATCACAGCTATAAATACCCATACATTCTTTTCCATTTCGATCATCACTTAGCTTGTTCAGTTCTCTGCACCGAGAAATAAAAGATAAAAGCAAAACAAAGGGAAAAAAAAACCCTAGCTCTTTATCTTGCTTTTAATTTCCACTAGCTTATATATATCCAGTTTTCTAGAAATGGCCCAAGCTGCCCTCATTAACAACGATGAGCAGATTGTTCGTCCAGTTGCCAATTTCTCTCCAAGTCTTTGGGGTGATAGTTTCCATTCATTCTCTGTTGACAATCAGGTATTTATAAAATCTTCTCTATTAGTTAGTTAGTGATATATATCAAATTATATATTATGCATAGTCTTTTTAAGTTGAACATATATGAATAAAGTTACATGAACTTAATAAATACATTTACAGGTGGCAGAAAAATATGGTCAAGAGATTGAAACATTAAAGGAGGAAACAAGGAGTATGTTGGCAGCAGCTTGTGAAAGATCATTGACTGAAAAGCTGAATCTGATTGATACTGTTGAGCGCCTTGGCTTAGCTTATCATTTTGAGAAACAAATAGAAGACATGTTGGATCAAATTTATAAAGCGGATCCAAACTTTGAAGGTCATCAGTACAATGATTTGTACACTTGTACCCTTCAATTTCGAATGTTGAGACAACATGGTTACAATATCTCCCCAAGTAGGTCCATTACAAATATATATATATATATATATATATATATATATGATGCACCTTTTTTTTAGTTTGTTTGTTGTATATCTTTAATTTTTTTCTTACACCAATTTTTCAACTTTTTCTGCATGAAAACTAATCTTTTGTTTTTATTCACGATCCAGAAATTTTCAGCAGATTCCAAGATGCAAACGGCAAATTCAAGGAGTCTCTTAGTAATGATGCAAAGGGTCTATTGAGCTTATACGAAGCTTCACATGTAAGGACTCATGGAGAGGATATTTTGGAAGAGGCGCTTGTTTTTTCCACTGCTCATCTTGAATCTATAGCTCCACATTTGAAGTCACCTCTGAATAACCAAGTGACGCATGCCCTTGAGCAGTCTTTGCATAAAAGCATTCCAAGAGTCGAGACGCGTTACTTCATCTCTATCTATGAAGAGGAGGAACTGAAAAATGATGTGCTACTTCGATTTGCTAAATTGGATTACAACTTACTTCAGATGTTGCATAAACAAGAACTCAGCGAAGTATCAAGGTACAATGATGTTTTATGTAAAAAAAAATATAAATCATTTGTTCGCAATAATTTCTCATATTCTAAGCTCGGTACCTACCTTTTTTGTAGGTGGTGGAAAGATTTGGATTTTGTGACGACACTTCCATATGCTAGGGATAGAGCAGTTGAATGTTACTTTTGGACGATGGGGGTGTATGCTGAACCTCAATATTCTCAGGCTCGTGTCATGCTTGCTAAGACTATAGCAATGATTTCGATAGTAGATGACACATTCGATGCTTATGGCATTGTAAAAGAACTTGAGGTCTAACACTGATGCCATACAGAGGTATAAACTTGTGTCTCCACTACAGTTTATGAATTTATTAGATGGTTTATTAAATGGGAAACTCAAACTTACTATATCTATAATTTCTCATGTATTAGGTGGGATATTGGTCAAATTGATCGACTCCCGGATTACATGAAAATCAGTTTTAAAGCTCTTATAGACCTTTATGAAGATTATGAAAAGGAATTGTCAAAAGACGGCAGATCCTACGTTGTCCACTATGCGAAAGAAAGAGTATGACTCACTGATTTATAATGTTTTATTTCTAAAATCACCTGTATTATATTTACCTTATTTTTCTTTATAATCAGATGTATTGTTGGAATATTGTATTGATTAATTGTTGAATGTCGTCGTTGTTTCCTGTTAAATAGATGAAGGAGATTGTGAGAAACTATTTTGTCGAAGCAAAGTGGTTCATTGAGGGATATATGCCACCTGTTTCTGAGTATCTTAACAATGCATTAGCTACCAGCACATATTACTTGCTAACTACAACATCCTACTTGGGAATGAAGGCAGCAACCAAGGAATATTTTGAGTGGTTGGCTACGAACCCTAAAATACTGGAAGCCAATGTAACATTATGTCGAGTTGTTGATGACATTGCCACGTATGAGGTACACATCGCATTACATTAAATTAAAGCATCTTATATGATTGTTGATGTTAGATATATAAATCGATTTTATCGCCATTTTAGGTTGAGAAGGGTAGGGGCCAGATTGCTACAGGAATTGAGTGTTATATGAGGGATTATGGCGTATCAACAGAAGTAGCAATGGAAAAATTCCAAGAAATGGCTGAGATAGCATGGAAGGATGTGAATGAAGGAATTCTTCGACCAACTCCTGTTTCTACAGAAATTCTCGCTCGTATTCTCAATCTCGCACGTATTATCGATGTCACTTACAAACACAATCAAGATGGATACACTCATCCAGAAAAGGTTCTAAAACCTCACATCGTTGCTTTACTGGTGGACTCCATTGAAATCTAAACCATTGAGTGCTTTTTTAATCTAGATGATTGTTTTTTTTTAATAAATAAAGGATATGTGTTCTTCTCTATATAAGCAACTTGAATTTCCTAGTTCTGTTCAAACCCTGTATTGTTCTTTACGTCTGAATAATATAATTTTGTTTGCCTAACTTGGTTCTTCTTGTTTATTAAATTAGCTGTTGATCGATGCTGAAAAAAAAGTAAACGTAAAATATTTGACACCATATTTGACAATAATTTGTTAGTGAAAGAAAGTCACTTCTTAGAAACACACTTAAACCACTTCTTCAACAAATAGCTTTTTGAAAGCAAAAAAATTGCAAAAACTTCTTGAGGAACTTATACAAACACATTTTCAGAAAAACTCTTTGCAAGATATCAAAGAATTTTCCATGAACAAAACGCTAACTGTCACATAATGTACTACTTTTCCTATCGTGATTATTTTTTTGGTTTATTTAGCTTGCATGCCTATCCGTTTGATCAGTTTTGAAAGTGAAACAAAGAAATGATATTAGTTCATCTTTTGAAGAAAACAATTTCAAGACTTGAATAGTACTCCCTCCGCTTCAAATTAAATGAGGTAGTTTGATTCGGTACGGAGTTAAGGGAAAAAAGAAAGACTTTTGAAATTTGTGATCTTAAAAGCTTAAGGGGTAAAGCTTTGTGGGCCATGACTTTTGTGTGGTTATAAAAGCTTCTCATTAAGGGTAAAATGGGTAAAATGAGAAGTTTAAAGTTGAATTATTTCCAAATTTAAAAATATGTTATTTATTTTGGAACAGACTAAAAAGGAAAGTATCTCATTTAATATGAAACGGAGGGAGTATTAATTACTCGAAAATGAATTACTACAAATTATACCTTCTTACGTTTCAAAAAATTTGGACAAGTAATCTGATCACTCATGGGAATTATTTTGCAATCTAGAAAGGAGAAAAGGCTAAATTTGTCCCTTTACTTTAGATAATTAGTCATGTTTATGCCTATTTCTACTATTGGTCCAAACATATCCCTGCCATTAATATAGTAAACAAAATTATCCCTAACCCACCGTGGCACCGGGTCCCTTCTATTAAACTGCCAAGGCAAATTTAAACACAATTTTAAAAGACCCGCCCCACTTATCTGACCCGACTAAAATCGTTAAATTGGTCTTCTTCATCGACTAAAGAAGAATCTGCCGATTACGTCACTTTCTTCTGAGTCATTCCTCAGAGCATCCTCACTTTCTTCTTCTTCCACAATTTCTTTTAGTTGTTCATTGTCCTGATAATTCTCAATGTTATTGGCGCCAGATTCCTGTCTCCTCTCTTTATAATTCTCACTGTTTTCACCCTCATTAGAACCATTCTTGGTAACAACAGCTCTCGCATCCTCATGCCTATTGCCAACCGGAATAGAAGCATTCTCATCTATATGTGAAATTTGAAACCCTTCCTGATCTAGATGATTATTGACCCTCTCTTCATCAGAACTTTGCTGAGTAGATATTTCACCATCACTTTTACTATTAGCTAATATTCTTTCCATTTGTTGTAGGAGTTCGACATGTTCGGATATCGCATATGGATTCTGAGTGTTTTCAATTATTTCATTCACATTGGATGTTGAAAATTTATTGCTACCGGTACCACCAATTTTCCTAGAGAGTCATGCCAGATCAGAAGACAAATCAGTTAGAGAGACAAACTTGCCTTCGAATTCCATAATAAAAATTGTGGATGAACCCTAGTTTTTAATCAATGGAGAATTGGTGGTTGGGTCAGATAATCGGGGCGGGTCTTTTAAAATTGGGTTTCCATTTGCCTAGTTGGCAGTGGCAGTTTAATAGAAGGGACCCGGTACTACGGTGGACCTCTGTTAGGCTTAAGGACAATTTTGTTTACTATATTAACAGTGGGAACATATTTGGACCAATAGTAGAAATAGGCATAAACGTGACTAATTAACTAAAGTAGAGGGACAAATTTGACCTTTTTCCCATCTAGAAATAATAGGTCAAGTTGATAATTAAAGTTGAAGAGTCAATAGCCTTGGTGCTAGGGATGTTCGTCGGTCGGTACAGTACGACATTTAGACATTTCAGTTCAGTATTTTTGGTATTCGATTTTTTAAAATGTTATACCAATACCGTACCTAATTAAATTCGGTATGATTCGATTTTTCTCTTTTCAGTTTCGGTTTATTCGGTTTGATAACTTCGGTTTATTCGATTTGAATACTAACTAGTGCATAGAGTCATAAACTGTAATATTCTTAAATTACTCAAAAGTACAAAACTAAAAACGTTTTGTTGACAAAAGTATTGTTTAAAACCAGCAAATATCAACCCAGAGAGAGAAAATTGTACATAAAGGAATAAATTTGATCATTAAAAATATTTTGTTACTTGCTTAGAGTTAATTGATGAACTTAGAGAATAAGAAAAGTAAAATTTTAGATTTTTTATATTTGTGTTATAATTAATATATGTATTGTGTAATATAATATATATTTCTATCCGTTATCGATAATTCGTTATTTTATTTTAAAATACCAAATACCATACCTAATACCATTTTTTTTAAATAAACCAAATACCATACCGAATACCAAAATATTGAATACTACGATAATTTGGTATTTCCACGACCCTACTTGGTGCTAGCTCATTATAGCTAGCTTTTAGAACACGTTTAAAAGAAAACGACCGATAGCGTTCTTAAAAATAAAATAGTGAGTCTAAAATACCAAGTATTTGGTAAAAACCACTTTTAGTACATATTGAAGAAGATTTAAGACAGCACACCATATATACAAGTGTTGAGCCAAGCAAATGTCAATCTCATGCATTTTTTCAAGGAGGCAGACCATCTTTCCAAATTAGCCACCACCAAATCTGATGGCTCCTACTTTTACTCATTTCAACCGTTTACCAAGAGGGGGCAAGAGTCCTTTTCAGTTTGAGAAATGTGATGACCCGGTCGGTCGTCTTAAGAATTAACGCCCTGATCCCCTATTAACTGCTTTCCCCAAGTCTATTTATGCTAATTTGAATTGCCGGAATTTTCGGTTTTGAGTTTCAGAGAGTTTTGGGACACTTAGTCCCTAAATGAGAGCTTAAGTGTTGGAAAGTTGCCCGTAGTCGGAACAGTGTGAAGACGGCCTCGGAATGGAAATCCGATGGCTCCGTTAGCTTCGTTAGGTGATTTCGGGGTTGGGAGCGTGTTCAGAATATGTTTTGGAGGTCCGTAGCTAATTTAGGCTTGGATTGCCGAAAGTTGGAATTTTGAAGTTTCCGGTTCGGTAGTGAGATTTTGATCCGAGGGTCGGAATGGAATTCCGGAAGTTGCAGTAGCTCCGTCATGTCATTTGGGATGTGTGTGTAAAATTTCAGGTCATTTGGACGAGGTTTGGGTAGGTTTTTGATCGAAAGTGTGTTTTGTTAGAATTTGAAGTCCTTAGGCTTAAATCATTGGTTAATTCGAGTTTTCGACGTTGTTTTAGGTGGTTTAAGGGTTGGTACAAGTTTGAATGATGTTATGGGAGATGTCCGTAGGTTTGGTTGGGGTCCGAGGGGCCTCGGGTGTGTTTCGGATGCTCAACGGGCCATTTCCTCCTATTTTTGAACTGCTGTTGCTGCTTCTGGTATGCCTCTATCACATTCGCGGGCTGCCCTTCGTGATCGCGAAGGCTTAATTTGACCACCTGGAATTTTCCTCTTCGCGTTCGCATAATCCCTCCCGCATTCGCGAAGCCCAGCTTACTTCCCCATCGCGTCCGCGTAAGCTGTCACGCGTTCGCGTAGGGTAACTCCTGGACCTCACTATTTTTCTTCATCGCGATCGCGTTCCAGACGTCGCGTTCGCGTAGCTTCATGATCCCAAGCCTTCGCGTTTGCGTTCTCCCCCTTGCGATTGTGAAGGGCATTTTTGGCAACTTCTATTTTCCTTCTTCGCGAACGCGACCTTACTTCCGTGTTCGCGATGCATAACGGACCTGGGCAGTATTAAATCATTCAAAACCGAGGGTTTGCCATTTTTATCAAAGTACAAGCTTGGGAGCTCGGATTTGGGAGAAATTTCGAAGGTTTTTCGAGGGCAACTACTAGGTAACGATTCTCTACTCTCTTATGCTTAAAACTCACTAATCTAATCACGAATTCATCCTTAATTTCGGATTTTTGAATGAAAAATGGGAAAAACTTCATAGACCAAACTATTGAGTTTTGGGTGGGTGTTTGACCTCCGATTTGGGAGATTTTTATATGCTTAGACTCGTGAGAGTACGAGGGTTCTGAGAATGTGAAAATTATCCCGTTCCGAGATGTTGGCCTGAGGGACATTTTGGTCATTTTACCTAAATTTGCGTCTTAGCTTTAAATTAAATAGTAGAATCAGTTGCTTGTGATGTTATTTACGATGTATAATTGAATTGAATAGATTTGCGCCATTTGTTGTTGGATACTCGTGGCAAAAGTGTGGTTTCGAGTTGATTTTGGAGCCGGTTTGAGGTAAATGGCTTGTCTAATCTTGTGTGGGGGACCTTTCCCCTTAGGATATGATATTTGGTAATTGAATGACTTGTACGTGAGGCGACGAGTGCGTACTTGAGCTAATTGTTGAAAAATCCTGTTTTACTTTAAATATTTAGATTGAGTTTCTTTCTTATCTGCTTTATTTTATTTGCAATTATAGACTGTGTTAGCCAGAAAAGCATGCTTAGTCGTAAATTGTCTATTTGTTCAAGTTGCCTTGTTTACACTACGTGAAGCATGTTAGGCTAGAACTACCTGTTGCCTTGTATTTTTGAGCTTCATTTCTGAATATTCTTCGTGTTGTGACTGCATATTTACATTGGGACTACGGATGTGGGATTCCGGTAGCTCCCCCCTTGTTTGTTTACTTTGTGACTACGGGTTAGATTCCCGGTAGATCCCCCTACACATTTACTTTGGGACTGCGGGTTAGATTCCCGATAGATCCCCCTGCACATTGATAGTTGGACTACGGGACGGTATCCCGGAAGATCCTTCGGATATACTCATATGATGGACTACGGGACGGTATCCCGGGAGCTCCTTGGACAGTTGATGAAATGGACTACAGGACGGTATCCTGGGAGATCTTCGTTGTCGGTATTGGTATTGAGCTGCTTTACTCTGTGT